GTTTGTCTCTATGTGGCCCTGTGATGGACTTGCGACCCGTCCAGGGTGTACCCCGCCCCTCGCACAGTGATTGCTGGACATGGGCACCAGCGACCCCCGTGACCCAAAATGGAATAAACGGGTAAAGATAATGGATGGATGGATGGATGGATGGATGGATAGATCCTATGATGTCATTAAGTACTCGAGTTCTACTCGAGTTTTATTATGTTAATGTCAAGTTTAAAAATTATGTAGTCATTCAACCCTTAATATATACTAAAATAAACTACAACTTACTTCTTGTCCTACTATTCCTACTTCGTGATTTTTCACTTATCGCAGGTTTTCAGGGTACGGATCCCCCGCGATAAACGAGGGACTACTGTATATATTTTTCAGGCTTGTAATGCAACTCTTTCTCAAAATAATGGACTTCTCCCTCCTCTTTGGTACAGAGAATGTGGCATTTAAATAAACTCAAATTTTGACTCATCTGACCACAGAATAGTTTTTTTTTTTTTTTCACTTTTAAATTAGCTTTAGCTGCAAAGAATGTATTTTTCTTTAAAAGTTGGCGCTTTAGCTAGTAGTTGTGGATGCTAACTGTGTTTACAGACAATGATTTTTGGAAGTGTTCCTAAATTATAAAGCAGAACAAAATCAGAACTATATTTAATGCAGTGTCACCTGCAGCTCGTAGATCAAATGTTGACTTTTGACCTTTATTTTGTGCACAGATTTCTCCAGACACTTGAAATCAATTGATGCTATTATGAACTAGGCTGTTCAGTGCTCTTAATTTTTGAGAAACATAATTCGGAAATTCTTTTCACAGTATTTTGCACTAACCTCTGCCCATCTTTACTTCTGAGAAATTCAGCTTCTCTAATATGATCTTTCTGCACCCAGTGCTCTCACTGACCTGCTGCCAACTGACCTAGTTAGTTGCTAAATGCTCCATCGGCCTTTCTATGCCACGTTTAAAAAATTTTCAAGAAAAGTTGCTGCCATCAAACTTAAAATGATCTTTTTTGTAGGTACTACTTTTAGTTTAACTTCTATTGTTCCATTATTAATCGAATGTGGGTTTATTAAATCTAAGATTTCTGTTTTTATTACTTTGATTCTGTACGTTTGCAAAGTAGCTTGAATGTTGTTCCATTGAGAAAACCGTAACAAACCAAATAAATTACGTCATTTATAAAAGTGTAGAGGTTTAATAAGAGATATTGTAGTGTTATAATATTCTCTTTGCAAAAAAAAAAAAAAAAAAAAGTTTTAAACGCCTGAAAATGTTAAAACTGTTCCTCATTTAGCTAGCCATTAGCCTAGCCTGGACAAAAACTTTTGTCTCTTTCACTTTACTCTGTGCTCCATGACTGATATGGCAAATAAGTTACAATGTTCAGTCAGGTCATTTGGACGATTTCTTTTTTGCTGAGACATTTCGTCCTTCATCCAAAGGACTTCATCAGTCCAAGGAGCTACAAACAAACCATCCAGATGACCTGACTGAACATTATTGGATTTTTAACTGGATTATTGAGCATAAACTACTGTTAGCTATATTCTAAGCTAACTAAAAACTGAATCCATTGTTTTCTCAGGAGGTGTTGACGGTAGGGGAGGAGACTTTGTCATCCCCGTGCTACCTGCAGCTGGAGGAGGAGTGTTGCCATGTCCTCATGGAGCAGCTGGGCACGTACGGCCTTGTGGGCCAGTCCTGCCCACCACGACCCGCCTGCAAGCGCCTGCAGCTGGCTCTGTTTGCCCCCCGAGCACCGTGCCTCTCCCTGGACTACAGTCTTCGTATCTACTGTATCCATGACACCCCACACGCGCTCAAGGTGCTGCTCCACTCCTCCTGCATCTCGTTTGGTCTCAGTGCTGTCATTAATCTGCCCTTATGGCTGCCTTCAATTTAAAAGTTTATGATTGTATCTAGTTCAGATCTTTTAAGGAAATCTCAGCTTTTGGATTGCTGTCCAGTCAGTGTATAAACTGGTACTTACTGGGATGTAAATCTACCAAATACTAGCCAAGAAACAGACAACTACCATATTTTCCAGCATATAAGTTGCATCAGTCAAAAAAAGTATAATGACGAGGGAAAAAAAAAACATATAGGTGTATAAGTCATTTTTAAGGATGCACCGATCCACTTTTTTTTTTTTTATTCCGATCCCGATACCTAAATCTGAATATTGACCGATACCGATCCTGTTCCGATATCATCATCATTGATTTTATAGACATTGTACATTGCTGTCTTGTTTTGTGGTGTTTCTAGTGTAAAATACTTCCACACAGCGGGCATGTTTCAATGAAAAGTTGGTTAGCTGTTAGCCACAATGCTGCTAACTCAGGTTGTAGCTGGCTGCAAACTATGAAATGGATTTCCTGAATTTGAGGTGGGTCTTATTACTCTGGGCTCATGAGACACGCCTTCGTTCAGGAAATCCATTCCATAATTTGAAGCCAACTCGCATCATGGATCGGAAATCTCTGCAGGTTGGCTCGGAAAACTCGGACTACGTAAATTATGCTGGTATCGGAGGCCGATCCCGATACTGGATCGGCCCCATCTCTAGTCACTTTGGCGTATAAGTTGCGTTTATTATGCGTCACTGCTGACCCCCGGAAAACGTGGATCAGTGTCGTGCCAAAAATCGATTGGCGGCCGCGGGAGCATGCACGGGACGACTCGTTGTTGCAGTTCTTCGAAATATAACAAATTTAACACTTAAAATTAAAAACGATTATTTGTTTGCTCAACATTATAGCAAAGGTGTGTCTCAGTTTAACTTTTTCCTTAACAAATGCATTTTAATGGTCAATATTTGGCGAGGGGAGACAGTGGTACAGGAACAACATATGCGCCTACCAGTAGTTGTCAAAAGCCTTGATGGTCCTCATGCACCTCTAGTGGCTGCAAATGGTAATGTTTACTCTGGTTCATGTCAGTATGAATGAACATTTAAAGCGTCGGTCAAAAATTGCATTATGAATATGGAAAATAAAAACATATATAAGTCGCTTCGGTGTATAAGTCGCAGGACTGCAAATCTATGCAAAAAACTGCGACTTATATGCTGAAAAATACAGTACTAGTTAAATGAGATGTCTAAAACCCATTTCAAACTTACCACTTTTGCTCTTTTATTTTGGAGAATAGTTTATCATTTCGATCGTTTTCTTTTCTAATGGGATAGTTTCTTGCTTTGCCTCTCACACAAAATCGAGCACAAGCATTATCTCTGCGTGATCTCATCTGTAGCGCCTCACTAACTCGGTATCTCTCCACATCCGAAGAACTTTCCTCCCACCTCTGTTTTTCCGTCAGACTTCCCCTCGTCTGCTTATGAGACTCCTAAGCCTCTTAAAAACCCGCCTCAGTACGCCTAGCTCTTTTCCTGGAGGTCTCCGAAGGGGAAAGATGCTTTGTGAGTAACGCTAGTTTTTACAAGGTTCGAGTGTTAGCCACTTGAGGAAAATTTAAAGATAATGTTATATTTCTACAAATTTAATTTAGTTTGTGCCCCAGGAGGAACTTGTTGTACCAGGAAGCTTTATGAATATGGTACACGGTGTTTGCAGTCCTCCTGCGTCGACTAAAATGATGCTGTGTCAGAGACTGCACCCTGAAAAACGTTTTATACCACGTTTAGTCAGTTCAAGTTACTTGGGTTTGGATCCAGACCTTGCCCACCCTTAGGGGACCCCCTACTTTATTTTATATTTTAAAATTCTTATCATGAAATGGACAACTGATTAGCTGATTTTGATTATTCTTGCTAAAAGCTGCAAGACTTCTTCGTATTGTTTGTCACCAAAGAGCCCCTTCATTACAGTCCTTTGAAAGTCTGAGCACTCCACATTTTATTTCTCTGAAAACACAGAAATTATAATTTGAGTACTAAAAGTAATCCACTGATTTAGGAGAGCACTTCTATAATTTGTGAATGCCAAAAAAAAAAAAAAAAAGTTAAAGCTTTCAATTAATGGTTATTTTTTTGTGCCGTAATTTATTATTCACAAATATTAGCGTTAAAATCCCCTCAAACCTTTAAATATTTTTGGTAATGTATTTTTAAAAAATTTAATATATTAATTTTTCATATGTGTAAGGTAAATATTGTAATAAAAACTGGTTTAGGAGTCACAAAAAGCTAAAACAAATCAATGTTTTAATAAAAACCCAGATTCATGAGAGTCTAAAAGTTGAATGGAAGCATATTTTAAAGATTAAACATGCACAATAACCGACAAAAGGTGTGAAATGTTTAGGGTATGTCTCTGTATAATATCACAAACATTTAATATATGAAACTTATTTCCATTGTGGCTCTGAGCAGCAGGGCCACACATTGTCTCTCAACTCTTCAGATCCACTTTATTTCTACAAATTAAAGGTTGGAGCATGAAAACTGAATCTCTCTGACCCCAGAGAAACAGGAAGTCAGAATAAAAGGAAATACGAACTTCATCCCAATAATAACATGAGCATCAAATTTTAAAACCAGACTTTGTGTGGTCTTATTACTTTTAGCACCCTATAAAGTTTAGTACGAAGTGTTAACTAGTTAGGAAACAAAGTGCTGTATCGTACAAATAAAAAAAGTTGAAGAAAACTTATTATTTAATAAATTTGGCAAAATACACACGATTTTACTCATTTTGTATGAATTTTATACAACTGCCGTGTTTTCTTTTGAACTTGGAGCAGCCAAAGTGAAACAGGAAGTGACATCAAAGGGGAACTTCCTGGTCTTCGTTTATTGAAAAAAATATTATTTGAACTGTGACTCTTCTTTGTCTCACTCTTCTAGACTCCAAACAATTTAAAGTGACAGATTCTTCACCACTGTCTGAGTTGTTAGCCGTTGTAGCAATGCTCTGTTTACATGAAGGCGTTCTTTGTTAGCATTTCCTGTTACCACATGCGAATATCTCAACAACTGTTCATCTCAGCAGCGTGAATTTCATTTTTTATTGTTTTTGCAATATGTTACTAATGTTAAATTTCCATAAATGCATTCATATTAATTAGAAATTTTTGATGTAATGCATGTGTCACACTTGTGGGCCAAGTCTGGCTCTTGTTAGCGCTTGTTGCTTAGCCATTGATGAGTGGGGCTCCACTCGGCTCTCGTCTTATTGATTCTTCTCAGGTGTAGGTGATTTGCCACTGTGACTCATTTCTCCGCTCTGTGGGCGGGATCTTAACTGTTCATTGTTCGAGCCACTCCACCCATTGTGGTCCTTATTCACCCTATAATCGGACTTCAATTTTTGCGCTTATCCCGGCACTGCTTATAAGTCTGAGTGGACACACGCTGTGCCATCAACTCTGATATCAGAATCAGAATCGGCTCCGAAGCACAACGAAATTACATTTCAGTACAGCTCGTCCAAGTAAAACACAAACAGACATGAGTAGACGGAGGTGTCTGAGGCTGCGGCCTCGTGGGAGGCGCTGCCCTTTTTGTTTAGATAAGGAAAAGAGAAACACAAGGTAAGAGGAGGTGTAATAAAATCATATCTCGCACTGTGTCCTAGATGGGACACAGTGTGAAAGTTGCAACAACAAAACAAACTCTGTATCTCTTTATCTCTCTGTAAATGCACTCATTTCTTGTGGCACCGTCCATCAATATGATCAGAGAGGAAATGGAGGTTCTGATGTAATTTGCAGTTTTGCTGGCCGGGTCATGCAGTGGCATAGCTCTGCTGGCCAATCAACGGCTGCTTTCTGCTTACGTCAGAATGGACACCTTGGAGCAGTCTGCGGAGAACCTCAAACAAGGTGGTCCCATAAACTGGGATGAGTGGTGTGGGTACCAGCAGTGGGCAGGCCCTTAACTGGGGCAGTGTGGTGCGCAACAGATGAGAGTTGAGACCGTGGCAAAGCGCCATTAGTGCAGACAACTCGTGACACTTCATTAACTTTGAAGTCAAGAAAAATAAGATTTTTTTTTTTTTGACATGGAGCTAGCAACAAAAAGAGTTCAATGAGGCTGATCAAACTCTTGTTGAACTTGCAGCCAGGAAAATATGTCAGGAGCCTGACTTGAGTTTTTCTGAACTATAATGTTAATGTGGGCAGTACGACAGTTTAGTGGTTATCACACTCCTGGGTTCTATCTCTGGTTTGGTGCATGTTCTCCTTGAGTTTGCATTGGTTTCCTCCAGTTACTCCGGTTTCCTCCCACAGTCCAGAATTACACATCTGGTCGGCCTTCAGGCCCAGGCATACCTTGCGAAAAAGATCCATGAGGTTTGTCTGATTAAAAAAAGGTTAATAAATAAATATGTTTTTTCCTCTGTGCAGGATGTGCTGGATTTGGAGAGGAGTCTAGGTGGAGTTTTGATAGAAGATCCCAAACCACTGCTCTTCAAAGACAGTTACCACAATCTCCGCCTGTCCATCCACGACATTCCTCACACCTACTGGAGAAGCAAACTTCTGGCCAAGTACCAGGTGGCTAAATACATCAAACTGTACATCTATAATATGTGTACATGCGTTCATGAGGCAGATCTGAACTTTGGTCCTGGCTGTTCACGTGCACAAATTGTTTCTGTAGGAATAAAACATAAAGAGTAAAAGTTGTTCTAAAATATATTTGGGGTTCTCTCTGTGAATATTGCCTTCATAACATCTACAGCAGCTGTTTTTGCTTGGCTGTACTGTTTACGTTCTGACCCTGTTCTGAAAAACCAAAGGGGATCTGATGGCTCTAATTTAAGACTGTGCTTTGGAAATAAATCTGAGGAAACTCTAATGAAACTGTCACACCGTGCTGCCGAAAACAAAAGTATAGAAACGTTTGTTTTAGCTTTTTGTCTTTTTGCGTCAGGAGATCCCCTTCTATCACATCTGGAGTGGCAGTCAGAGACCTTTGCACTGCACCTTCAGCCTGGAGAGAGCCAGCCTGGCCGTGTCGCAGCTCGCCTGCAAGATCTGTGTCCGACAGGTGGAAGGGGAGGGACAGATATTCCAGCTGCACACAGACATCCAGGAGGTAATGGGGACAACTATTTTTTGCACAAACACACACAGAAAGCTGCAGTGAAGCTCACCTCTGCTCCATTTTTCTCTGTGAAACCAGACTCTCCCGCCGCACTCGCCACTCCCCTCAGGAACCTCCTGCATACCTTCTTCTCAGCTGGGACCTTATGCCTTTCGCCTACCTGACTCCATCCGCCAGAAGATCTGTGCCAGTTTGGATGCTCCCAGTGCTCGAGGCTGTGACTGGAGGCTACTGGCTCGCAGTCTGGGCTTTGACAGGTCCGCCTCCTCTCACCTGTAAAAGGGAAAGCCTGGTCATTTACAAAGTGTTGTTCTGTCAAATAGTGATCAAGATTGAAGAGATGTACTAATATTTATACCAGTACTGGGTACAGTAGTCGTACCCTGAAGACGTGCAATAAGTGAAAAACTGCAAAGTATGAATAGTAGTACAAGTAGTAATAGCTTATTTTAATATATATATGTAAAGGCGTTTTAAACTCTTCCCACACTCTTGCAATATTCTAAACAATTTTTCTAAACTCTTAACGCTCTAAAAGAGCACAGAATGTCATGAATTTAGCTCTCAGCCACCTGCGAGCACTCTTGGCCACGCCCACTTCTCCACTCTGCACAGAGAACAGCTGATCAGCTGCAGCAGGAAGTTTGTCCTGCAGTATGGGCTGCACAAAAATGCAGCAGGTGCTAAATAATTTAAAATCATTCATTTTAAATAAAAATTCCATGCCGATCGTGCGGCTCGTCCATCAGTCAGTCAGTTGTGTGTCATGTCCACTCTTATTTTGAAAAACCGCAATAGAGCGAGTCCGCAATAAATGAACCGCGAAGTAGCGAGGGACTACTGTATACGGTATGATATTGGTTTGGTTTGGTATTGGTTCAATACCATATGTGTGTACTCTTACTCATGAAAGTATTTCAATACTACAGTACCTAATGAGTTTATGAGTTGTTTTTAAGTCTGAATAATGTAAAATGAGCCTCTGTTTTCTTAGTTACAGTAGTCCCTCGTTTATAGCGGGGGTTACGTTCCAGAACCCCCCGCAATAAGTGAAAATCTGCGAAGTAGCGACGTTATATTTATTTTAGTATGTATGTATTCCACACTCTTGCAATGTTCTAAGCTCTTAAACCTACATCATTTTAGCAACATACGTACAGCACTGTGTATGTAGCTACGAAATTTTACTTGCCGGGCTCTGCAGAACAGCAGCGGCTCGGTTCCGCTCCGACTTGAGAGATGAAAAAAAGTCCCGGTGGGCTCCGGATGGAGCGCCAAACCTTCGGTGATGCGCGTCTCGCTCGGAAGTCCTTGTGGGCTGGCTACCAGCCCACAAGATTCACCGATGGGTCGGGAGGTCTGGTTCTGGTCTGGTTCCGTGGGTTCCGTGCGGCTCTTTGCATCCGCTGGATGCCAAAGTCACTGTAATAAGCGCCAATTTTTTTCCGATCAGATGGAAACTTTCCCTCTGTTTTTCAGCAGAGGCAACGGGGCTTCTGGGAAATGTAGTCTTTATGAGCCACGATACAGTATAGGCTTATTGAGAGAAAACTACAAAATGGCGGCGCCTGTCCGAACTATTTTATTTGTTCCTCAACTCTTTACTGTACTGTATCCCGTACTGTCCCAATCACGTGAGTAAAGTTAAAGTTGACAATCCGGTGTTGTGTACTTTTTTTTTCTCGTGTTCAATCTTAATTTGAAAAACCGTGATAGAGCGAGTCCGCAAAAATCGAACCGCGAAGTATCGAGGTCAAGGTTCTTTATTGTCATTCGCATCGCATGTGGTACATGTGGTGGAACGAAATTGTGTACACAGGGTCCCAGTTACATCCAACAAAAGTATAAAATGTAAAAGAAAAACTGTAATAAGATCTAAGATATGAACTAAGAATACGCTAAACACTTAAACAGCACAAACACGAGTCTGTGTGAGCAGATGAGGACGAATGAACACAGCAACATGAAATAGATCAGCAGCATGAGATCAGCAGCTTGGATAGTCAACAGCACATAATCAAAGTGGCAAGAGGGACTACTGTATTGAGAATTTTGCCCTTTTCTCCATATTCTGTGGCTTAAGCTGATAAAATGCTAACTATAAATCAGAGATTCAAAGAGATTTATTTGTCATTCCATCACATGTGGTACATGTGGTGGAATGAGATTATGTACGCAGGGTCCCAGTTACATCCAACAATAAAATGTAAAAGAAAAACAGTAATAAGATCTAAGATATGAACTAAGAAAAACATCAACTAAATAATACACGAAGCACTAATACCTATTTCACAGAAAACCTCGAGTGACCATCTTTGACATCGTTAATTATCTATTTATCTGTAATCAGTCTGTCTTTCTCGCTCGCAGGTATCTGAACTACTTTGCCACAAAGCCCAGCCCCACAGGTGTTCTGCTGGACTTATGGGAAGCGTGTCACCAAGGTGATGCAGACCTGGTCTCTCTGGCGACAGCTCTGGAGGAGATGGGCAAAAGTGAAGTGCTAGTTGTCATGACGACAGATGGGGATTGTTGATTGGTCAAGAAACAAAGCAAGAAGGACTTCTTTTTTTTTTTTCCTTTCTTTTTCCCACCGCAGTGATGAAAATGAGAATACTTGCCTATGAATATGCACACGCTGGCACAAATCTGTCATCAGCAGAACGTTTCGGTTGCTTCACATGTGCTGTTTTACCTCCGGCTCACCTTGTTTTTCAGCGACCCGCTATCAGCAGCTGTAGGTGCATGTCAGCCATCCCCGTTCGGGCCATTCGACTCCCAGCCTGAATCAGCAGTGTTGCATCTGCAGTGTAGAACCAATCTGATTGTAAAATCCTCTGAGAAACGAGAGGCGGAGTGTCTTTAAACTGCTGGAAACATCTTTATTTTGGGGTATTAATATCAACGCTTTAAGGTAAATAATGAAATCCACGTATTGAAAACACTAAAGCACAGAAAAGCTAAGATGGGATTAGCTGTATTTCAGTAGCAGCATGAACGTGCATGACTTAACTCCATCCCACCTCGTGTCAGGAGCTTTTGTTTTTTCCATTGTCACTGGTTGTGCAGAAAACAATAGAACCAACCTGTGTGCAGCCTGCAGCAGCTACACACACACACACACCACACAGTCAAATCGAAGTGGTCTGGAACACACAGGCGAGGAATACACGTCTTAACTGCTCTGGATAGCAATCGAACCCTCAAGGTTTCAGTCGTGCCTCTTTTGGCTGGAAAAGGAAAACAAACTAGCGGCCCCTTCTTTGTGGCAGGAGATTAAATTACAAAGTTTGTTCCAGGATTGGCAGATAACTTGACTGACTCTTTTATTGTACCAACAGATGCCTCAAAGCCTCGACGTATCGTTCCGACTCACAGGGGCGTTTCTCTTTCATCTCCCCTCGCGCTCCTCCGTCGCTCCGCTGCTGAGAATAAACTGCATCGTCCCTTAAAAAGTTTCCTTTGGGGGAACAATATTTATTTTATGATCCATATTTGTGGATTCTTTTTCCCTACCCCACCTCATCATCAGTATAAAACAAATCCTATTTTAACATTTGTCTTTAGAACGGCTTTTTTTTTTCATGTGAACGACAAAATCGTGATTTTTTTTTTTTTATTTATTTGCTTTTTTAAGTTTTGTGCTTTTATTACCTATAAGTCACGTTTTTTTTTTTTTGTTTCTTTTGCATAATTTGTATGCCCTGCGACTTATTTCTGGATTTTTTTCCCCATATTTATAAACCAATTTTTGGCTGAGACCATTTTCATTCATTCTGACTGAAAATATTGAACACTACCATTTTCTGCCGCTAGATGGCACTCGAGTAGTATGGCATGCCGTTGTGTCATGTAATAGGTAAAAGTCGCTCTTAATGACACAATCGGCTTGCCATAGCCTCCCACCTTTGTCCAGCTTGCCTGGAGCAACCATCAAATCAGCTTGATTTCACTGCGCCGTCCCGGAGCAATGCAGCTGATTTGACCATTGAAGTACATTTATTAAGTAAAAGTTCAACTGAGAAGCACATTTGCTATAATGTCGAGCAAACAAATAATTGTTTTTAGGTGTTAATCTTGTTAAATTCTTGTTAGGGTCCTCCCGTGCACGCTCCCGCAGTCGCCATTTGGCAGCCAATCGATTTTTGGCACAGCACTGTCGCACATTTCCAGGTTGTCAGCGGTGATGCGTAATAGATGCGACCTATACGGCAAAGTGACGGATTTATGTATTTTTCCACTTTATTAGACATATTTGGACGGTGCGTCGTGTACGGCGGAAAACACGGTATTTATTTTTTGTTTAAGTTTTGTGCTTCTGTTAATGTAAAACGCATTAAGAGGTGACCCTGATGAGTTTAACGTTCATTTTGGAGGGGTTTTTTTTGGCTTTATTAAAAAATAATTATAGAATAAATTAGCCTTACCCTGAATCTGTTTGGCTGCAAGGGACCGTAAACACTTATTTACCTCGACACAAGATTAATTATGTTGCAATCTGGCCACCTTCCTCATTTTCCCCCTTTTTTTCTGGATTTTATTGAAGATCTTTCTCCTAAGCTGCCTGCTTTGTGGTTTCGATCTTCAAACTGTGTGCATTATTGATCTCTTGTTAGATGGGAATGTAAATTTTGCCTTTTTATAAATTTATCATTTTCATCTTTTTCTTGTTTTTTTTTACTTTTTTTTCTCACCCTTAAAGCAAAAATGAGTTTTCTTTAAACGGCACAAACCAAAACACCGTCAGTATCCCTCCTCTTCAGCAGTGAGTCATGTCACTGCTTTGTGTGAATAAAGGGTGCGTGTGTGTGAGTGTGTGTGTGCGTGGATGGATTCACATACAAAAATGTGTACATTATTAAGAACTGTCTTTTTCTCTTTGTAAGTGCTATGCAAGTACAAAAGAACAGTGAAGAGTTTCGACCTCTTTTGTTTCCTGGAAGAGTAATTCTATTTTTTCAGCTCAGAACACCGACAGGGTTTTCATTTTGTATCCTGACGTGGTCTAAGGGTGATTTGCTGCATTTTATTTTTCTGGGGACGTGCTGGTCCATGCAAGGTATCTCAAACTTGCCTGGAAGAGTTGGATCACTCTCCGAGGAGGCTCCAAACGGCAAAAACTGAAACAGAAGTGGTGCAATGGGCTCAAGCGCACGTCGTGACTGTAACACGGTGAGCTCGTGCCCTGCAGGGGTTTATTTTTTTGTTTTGTTTTGGGTTTTTTTGCCGTGAAGAAAATTACCTGAACTCTGCGGGACGGGTATCGTTTCGCCACTCTTCCTACACAACCGCCCAGGTGTAGTCGACAGTGTTCGTTGGTCCGGAGGTCTCGAGCGTCTGCCGGATACGTCGGCCGCATCTCCGGATCCATTTGGAAGTTGCTCCTTTCAAAGAGACAAACTCAGACGATGGACAAGTCGGACGTTTTTACAGAAAACTAAGAACAAATTGTAAATATCTGTCTAGCCTTCTTACTTGTAACTAAATATAATTTTTATGCAATAAATTATATTTCTTAGTTTAACATGGCTGTTGCGTCAGTGTGTTTTATTTAGGTCGCAGTTGTCTTCTCTGGAGGAATGCATATTGTCATTTCATGCAAAAGTGAGATTATCTTATGTTGACAAATGACAAACTCGTAGTAAAGTTATGTACAGTTGCATCTAATATGGCAAGATGTCATGCTAGAGTATATGTTGTGGATGAGTTTCAGCTACTCCAGTGTCAGATTTTCACTCTATGTTGAATTATCTGTTGGTCAATGTTTACTGTTGCAGCCGTCTTTAATTCTAATGACTTCAAATGTTTATCGGTTACAGAGGTACGTCCAGTGATTATTTCCCGAGCGTTTCATTTACATCCGTCTTGTGACTCACACAATAGTTTGCTAACAGACTGATAAAGTTGACTCACAGGTGATTAATGGCAACATTTTAAACAACGATCTTGTGTAATCTGTCAAACAGCTCAAAGTGTCTGTTGGAGATGGGCGTCAGTTAATAATATCCAAATTTTAGGTTAATATCTGTGTTTTAGGGTCCGTTGGTGACGGTCTTGATTTCGATCGACTAAAAGATTCATCCAGTGATTCATTTCTGAAGGTTTTCATCAAATTCACTCAGTGGTTCACGAGAGGTTTGACACGAATGAGCGAAAGGACTGATGATGAACGAGTCAGACACAGAAGCATCCGTCCGGTGCTTTTATTTACAGTGAGAAATAGGGGAGTGGTGGCGCAGAGGTTCGAGAAGGGGAGCCTGTGATCGGAAGATCGGCGGTTCAACTCCGGAACTGACATCATCAAAATGTGGGTGGGATAGTGAAGTGCCCACACCTGCCTCCACCCTCATTTGCCCCACTCTGGGCCCTTGAGCAGCGCCTTAACCAGTGGTGTAGTCTACATAATACAGAGTATACCCACTAGAAAAGCTTAAGAATTTCAGTATACTCACTTAAAAGTGCCCAGTGATACATGACATCATTAGCCACATGTCACTGACACGTTAAATAAAAGTTAAATGCTTCTGTAACAGTTTGTTGTGCGTTAATTCAAATATAAGCGTCAGAGAAATTTGGAAATATTCATACGCTTAAAAATCAAAATAAATTGACGATTGCATTGTACTAACCGGTGTACTTTGGTTTCTAAGCACAGTATACGGCGCAAACCATATAATGCTCCAGCGTCGGAGGGAAGTCATCAGGTGCCTTTTAAATGCCTGGAGCCTCATCCGGACACATCGCTTGCAGGTGTGGTAGTATGGCGCCCTCTGGTGGCCAAAGACAGACATGGAACAGGAACTCCCACAAGATTTTGCTAACAGACATAGACAGGAGGGGAAAAAATCATGCTCACCTTTGCTTTTCGGCAGCAAGCATAAGCATCATTCCTTGAAATGCTTTTCTGGAGTTTGGCGTCCTCAAATTACTTTTAAATGGCATCCGTTTCATGAATTACAGCCCATTTTATCTGAAAATGTGGAGCCACTCAACATGACCCTCCTTACTTCACACCTCACAGAGAAATTCTCTTCAGCTCCATTTAGCTTTGAAGGCTTTTAACTGGCAGGGGTGCAGGTCCTCCCATTAACAGCTCCTGGACTTCAACGGTTGACTCAAACATTCACATGTGGAGCTCCAGCCTCAGTTTGTTTTTATTTTAATACCTGCGTGAGGAACCCTCGGGTTAGGTTTTCCGGTTTCCCTTTACGTGTGAAATAAAACATGGCTGTAATGGGAGGCAACACTCTGCACCTGCTTTATTAATTAATGCACCGCTAATTAGGGACTGGCTTGAAACACTTTAATGCACGACTTAACCAAACCTTTTAGAAAGTGTGAAACGGGTGAGGAAGATGTCTTTGTCCAACACATTCGCCTCAATGTGTTTGATTTGACAGTCATGAGTGTCTCATATTAAATAAATGTTCAATTAAACATTATCAGTGCAATCTGTTTCAACATCAGCAATGATAAAATACATTTTTGAGTTGACTCTGACATAAAATTAAAAGTTGTTTGAACACTGAGCTTCAGTTTTGCATTGTTTGAATAAATCTGCCATTTATGCTCCTCGTGTTAGAAAAGCTGTGAGCTTCTCATTTGGTTATTGATTGTTGATCATAATAAATTTAATCCAGTTTTTCCCCCATTTTAATAGTTCAAAAGGTTTTCTCTTCAGGCAACTAAACAAAATCACCTGTCATGTTTCACTCATGAGACAAATCAGCCTTTTATCATCTTGAGATGCAAAAAAATATGAATATTTTGTCCTTTGGCGCCACCTGCTGGTAGATTTAACCAATTAACCATTTAACCAAGACTGAACAACAATAGAACTTTTTTAATTAATACTAATTAAATATGTTTCTAATATAATTTTGACTGTTTATAGAAGCAAACTTATGTTTATCCAGAAATAATTCCATATTTAATTTATTTATTTACTTATTTTTCCCAAAAGGACCTGTGCTGTAACATGTTTGCAGTTGTTAAACAGCCGCTCATCTCTTGGCCTTTTCAGATTCTTCCTATGTCACTAAGTGTATCATTCTAAGATGCTAACCAAACAGCCGTTACCTTTTTTTAACAAGTCAATTTGTTAATTTAGTAATTATCTTTTGAAGATGGCACATCTAATTTGTTGATCAAACCATCTCGTTTATTCTGAACATCCTGGTTGATAAAAGGATCTGCGTTGAGACCCAAACAAAGACTTCTAATTTTTTTTTCTAACATTGAATTACTCCAACAAGCAGCGCTAAGAACAGAAAATGAAAATAAGCTTGTGTCACACAAGCAACTCATCGATTTTCATTTTTTGCAAAAATGATTGAAATAAAATTGATTTCAATCAGAGCTATTTCTGAATATCTTGAAGGCCCTGCCAGTTTGTCATTGGTAACAGTATGGCTTACTGTATGCTTTACGTTACAATGAATATTGTCTTAAGAGGTTGTTTTCAAGTATGCAATGCAAGAATATACAGCGTTCTCAACACAATAGTGCCTTCTCTTCGTAACCAAAGCCCAAAGACTTTGCTCATGCACACAAAGATACAACCTGCTGTAGTTGCACAGACGTCTTGTTAAGCTCTAATTAAGGCAAAACTCACAAGTTAAGTAAAAACTGACTGCACAACAGCATAGTCTGTTTAGTTTCTATATGTATGGTTCACAACATAATTACACCCAAATAGAGTGATATTATATGGACCAAAGCAGACAGAGTCAAACCCAAACATGCACATTTAAGGTGACCTTTTAATAATTATGCAAGAAGTACTGTATATATGTAGGAACAAGCTGTTTATATTAAACTGGTTAAAACACTGTTTAACTTCTGCAGCAAAATGAGCCACAAATAAACTGTTTTACTCACTGTTGATGTTCATTTGAAAACCTCTTTCTCCATCTAGATGAGTTCCTTTAATAAATAATTCTTGTTTTGCCAGAGGCTTTCAAAGGCACTGTTGAATTTATTTTAAAGGTCTGCTCCAAAAGAAGCATCTGAAGATATGACAAATAAAGCTCTAATAAACTTGTTTCTATTTGTACTAGTGGGAAGCTACAAGAAAGTAATAGGCCTGCTTTGTAGTTTGCTGCTACCTAGAGAAGTTAAAAAAAAAATTCTCAATGGATTTTGTGACATTTGTACATTTAATCCAAATTTTGAGTATTTTCTTGTGTAATTTGCTGTTTTACAATAATTCTTGTTACATTTCTAATAAAGTTCCTGCATATTACACAGAAGAAATCTTAAATATCTACATGCAGCTCTTAATTACATCCTGCCAGTAGATGTGATTTCCACATTTAAAAATTTTAATTTGGATTAAAATTCATTGCTGTGAAGTGGTGAATTTATCGCAAAAAAAAAAGTTAAGGCCTGTATCACTTTTGTGAATCTGGGGCGCAGTGGGACTCACATATTTTCTTTAATCATATTTACGTTTATATTTGACATTTTTGACACGTTTAAACGCGTGCTTTTATTGTGGAAAGCCGTGCCGGTAAAACTTCCTGTGTTCTGACTATCACAATAAAAGCGAGTCGTTTTTTTTTTCTCTTTTAAGATTTTATGTCAGACTTAGAATAAGTTTTATTTAAAAGTTACATATTAAATTATACGCCTTTAAATAACTATTTAAACATACATATATGCTGTTTTTGTGTTTTGGGGTAGAATTGGCAACTCTTATTTTCTGACGGAGTCATACCGGAAGTGTGATTATTTTCACGCCGACATTTTTATTTGATTTTTTTTAACTGGTCGTCATGTGACCGATATTCACTTTGTTGAAATGGGCTTTTGGTTTAAGGCGACATTCCTGCAAAACACAAAAGGGAAACCATCGCAGTGTTTAGTGATGAGGTACGAGTTTTGTTATTTGTTGTATTTGATAATTAAAAGAACATTTGACGCCGGTCGGGGCTGTTAGCTCGGTTTGTCTAGCTTTTGTTTACGTTGAATAAAACTTTACGCTAAAGTTCATTAACTGTAAGTCATCCTCCGGAGAGTTAAAACGAGAATAACTGGCACTTAAAACATATTTACTGTATACAAGAGTCTCTTTACAGTCTAACATTTACCGAAATATAATAATTTTCTCTCGGCTAGCCATAACCTAGTTCCTCATTGTTGACATAGCTATGTTGCAAAGTCAGCTTTTTCTTATTAGATTCTTCAAAAAGTCCAAGTGATGACTAATTTATTTAAAAAAATGATAAATGTTTCTTGTCTGTCACGTTTAAGCGTCTTTTTTTCTTTCATCTGCATCTTTCACACTTTTTTCTTCTGACATGTTTCACGTGAGAATTGCAAAAACCATTGAAACTGACATCAGTAACATGTCAATAAATACAAGACAATAAAATGCAGCGTTATGTTAAAAGTTTAGTTTTTTAGGCTTATCTGTAAGAACTATAAATGTTCATATTCAGCCAAAGTTTGGCCGGACTGGTCTCTAACAGTTACCGTATTTTTCGGACTATAAGTCGCACTTTTTTTGTATTTATAGGCTGAAGTGAAGTATTTATGGATTTCCCCCCCTCCATTTTTATCAACCAATTTTTAGCTGAAATGTTTTCATTCATTCTAAGAAAAAAAAAAAGAACAGTACTATTTTCAGCCACTAGATGGCAGCAGAGTAATAGTTGTAGTAAGGCATGCCTTTGTATCATGTAATAGGTAAACGTGTCTATAAGAGCAAATTCAAAAAAGTTCTATACAAAAAACTTTATTTATTATACTTTATTGTTTTTGTCTGGAACATTTTTGACTTGACTATGCTCTGATGACTGAGACTCTTCACCAGCTATTAATGACACAATCGACTTGCCAGAGTACCCCCACCTTCGTTCTGCTCGCTGCTCCGAGCAAGTCAAACCAGCTGCACCGCCCTGGCGAAATGCAGCTAATTTGACCATTAAAGTGCATTTGTTAAGTTCAACTGAGACACACCTTTGCTATAATTTTGAGCAAACAAATAATTGTTTTTAGGTGTTTAACTTGTTAAATTTTGAAGAAACAAGCCGCATTCCTCCTCATTTTTTTCCTCCCTTTGCGCGCTCCTGGAGCAATGAAGCAGCGAATTCAGCTGATTTGACCGTTAAAGTCCTTTTATTAAGCAAACGTTAGACTGAGACACACTTTTACTATACTTTCGAGCAAACAAATAATTGTTTTTAAGTGTTAATCTTGTTAAATTCTTCTTATGGGGGCCGAGATGGTGTAGAGGCAGGGCAGCCGGCCTGGGACCTTAAAGTCCCAGGTTCGATCCCCAGTCACTGCACATCACGTGGCGTCTCTGGGCAGCACGTCTCATCCCCAAAATGTCCCCCGGGCGCTTTCAATAGCTGCCCACTGCACCACCTGGTGGTGGATGGGTTAAATGCAGAGACTAATTTCGCCATTGTATGGAAACATACAGTGCTGACATTGTGATGACATTATTATTATTATTATTAAAGTCCTCCTGTGCACGCTTCCACGGCCGCCATTTGGCAGCCCATCGATTTTTGGCACAACACCGGCCCACATTTCCGGGTTGTCAACGATGACACGTAACAAAAGCGACGTGTCAGCGGTGACGCATAATAGATGCAACGTATATGTGAAGTGACTTATTTAAGGATTTTTCCACTTTTTTAGACCCATTTGGACTGATGCGACTTATAGGGCGGTGCAACGGGTACGGCGGAAAATATGGTACATATTTTATGTAACTCACACTGGGAGTTACATAAAATATGTACCATATTTTATGTAACTCACACTGGGAGTTATTATTTTAAATCTGTTCAACATCTAGTGAGCTAAACCAGTTTGTCTGGAATAACCTGCAACACCCACAATGTTAGTAAAGTAACCTCACTGCATGATCTGATTTTTTATTATCACAATTTATGCATAAAATTGCTATGATGTCCAAGCGGCATCATGTTTGTAGCGTATAAGAGCGCACACACACATTTTGGGGTTATGAAAACAGATCTTCATAGTTTAGGCCTTCTTCGTAGTCAGCATGAAGATTTACAAGACGGTGCTGAAACCAGCTTTGTTGTATGGTCTGGAGACCGAAACATGGACAAAAAGACAGGAGAAAGAACTGGAAGTGGCAGAAATGAATTCAAATCAGTTTATTTATATAGCGCCAAGTCACAATAGAAGTCATCTCAGGACACTGAACAGAAACATTCACATGCATAAAAAAGCGTTGAGGTTCTCCTTAGGAGTGACGAGGATGGATAAGATCAGGAATGACATCAGAGGTACAGCACTGGTTGAACAACTGGGAGATGAAGTTAGAGAGACCAGACTGAGATGGTTTGGACATGTCCAGAGGAGGGACAGTGGGTATATTGGTAGAAGGATGTTAGAAATGCAGCTGCCAGGACAAAGACGAAGAGATCTATGGATGCAGTTAGAGAGGACATGGATGTAGTTGGAGTGAGGACAGAGTGAGATGGAGGAGGATGACTCGCTGTGGCGACACCTGAAGAGGGAAAAGCCGAAAGAAGTGGAAGTCGACGTGAAGGTTGTCTTTTGTTTTCACACTATTTAAATTAACATTTCAAATATATCAAACAGTATTCAGCCATAGGCAAATAATGTTACATTTTCCATTTCTTTTAGTTCAAGATATCCACAAGTACATTATATTCTTCCTACCTGGAATGATCATTGTTTCTGAATTATTATTTGTACTGAGAGAAATATATTGGTTCTTCTAAAATGTCTAAAAACAAAGCAGCTGGACTTCTGTTCTAGAGGTTTTGCTTCCCGTCCCAGGAGCTTTGTTTTTAATTTAACTAGAGGGTGTGGAGTTATAAGGTTTATGCATGAGATGCTCTGTTTATGCAGATTAATGTCACTCCACTCCCTCCTGAAGGTCATTAGGGTTTGTTTGCCTGGCTCACGAGAGATTTTATCAAATGCATGAAGGTGTGACGCTGAAAAAAACGACTGGGTTTCAGTTCTGCTCTGTTTAAAGTTTGTTTTTCCTGTGTGATGAAGTAGAAGATGGGGCGGCTGAAACAAAATAAACCAGCTTCTTGATTAATTTTCTTGAGTCATTTTCACTTTAATGCAGGTGAGCGTGACCCTGTCGTCATGGGACAGCAAGTTTTCTGTTTTATCTTGGAACGGCACCATTGTGAGAAATGTTTTCATCAATCCAGAAACTTGACCCAACTGCTGTAGTAACAATGCCAGGCCTGTTTGTGGCGCTGAGACACTGCCATACGCTCCACACTGTAAACACAAGAAAAACTGAAGTCATTGTTTCTTTACCTTAAAGTGTTGAAACAAGCTCGATGTGAGCAGGACCCCAGATCTGACTTGGGCTGTGTTACTCTTTATAAAAAATACTTTTAGTTGTGAATAACGTGAAGGTAGTTCTGCCACTGCGGCACCTGAGCGTTCATCTATTTACCAATGTCTACGTGCTACAATGTCAGCGTTGTATTTTTTTTTTTACATGCAAAAGTAAAGTTATTGTTTGAGCTTTGTAGACACATTCATGTTTTCCATCTCTTCCACAGATTTTGGTTGAACACGTTCAGCTTGTGTTCTTTACGCCATTGGACTTCTCCGTTTTTACTCTATTAGAGTTCAGGAGCTTTTCTGTGAAAATGGAAAAACCAGTGCAGCCCAGCGTCAACTCATCCTACCTGCCAAATGTATATGATGAGCAAACTGAGGATGAGGAGGGTGAGGACCACAGTCCCTCTGCATCTCTTCTACCCAGACATACCTCCACACCCCTGGCTGTGCGCTACAGTCCTGAGGACTCGTACAACCTAGTCTACATCATCTTTTTTCTGATGGGAATCGGCTCCCTGCTGCCCTGGAACTTCTTTATAACAGCCAGAGACTACTGGAGCTACAAACTTGGCAACAGCAGTGATCCCAGTGGACAGCAACGTTCAGACATCAGCGTGAGTTGAAAAGTCACTGAGGGACTTTTCGATTCGACTTTTAAATCCATTGAGAGGAAATGTGGAATGAAGTCGAACTTTTTTAGTTCTTCGCTCTTCTTTCACTTCCTCGTTGTGTGTGACAGTATATGCTCTTTTACTCAAACTGATACGAGTTGTTTTTGTTTTCTCTACGCAGGAGAACTTTGAAAGTTATCTGTCCGTCGCCTCCACCGTTCCCTCGGTGCTGTTTCTAATACTCAACTATTTTCTTGTTAACAGGTTGACATCACACTCGCACACTTCTCGCACACATAATGTTCTGTGAGCTTGTTGCTCACTGTCCAGATGTTTAATATAATTTGTTGCCAACAGCCTGTAGTTTATATCTGAATTGGTCTAACGAGTAGAATCCACTCAGATTTTATAATGATTTGATTGGTCTTTATTAACTCCAACTTAATCCCAGTACTGTGTGCTTATTGGCAGGGTGTCGCCAGACGTTAGAATCCTCTCTTCTCTTTTTGTGATTCTCTTGGTGTTTTTGGTGACCACAGTGTTAGTGAAGGTGGATCTGTCAGAACACAGTACAGGGTTCTTCATCGGCACTCTTGCCAGTGTTGTCGTCATCAGCGGCGCCTCCAACATCTTCTATGGCAGTGTGTTCGGGATCAGTGGCTATTTTCCCATGAGGATCTCTCAGGCGCTCATATCAGGTAGTTATTATTTAAATTCAAGGATAAAACTGTTGCTTTTACTGCATTTAAAATGTTTACACATATGTTAAATGCACAGTTTCATTACAGTCTTAACTACATTTAGGGGCTGTGGTAGTTTGGTGGTCGGCCTAAAACAAACAGCCAAATCTTTCATGCGAGTGCGCTCGCTGTAATGACCCCTGAAGAAGAGAGCAGCCTAAAATAACTTACTATTACAGTTTTAACTTCATTTATTATATTTGTTATTTTTGATTATATATATATAGTTTAATTTGTTGAGACTGTCCCAACATATTCCATTCCCTCAGGACGCTACAAGAAACAGTTGTAAGCATTAAGTCAATAAAACACTTGAAGACTGCTTGGGCAAGCTCCAGTGCAACCCTCAGATATCCCAGCAAAGGTAAATACTGGTCCAATAGTAACTCAAACGAGTCGGCGGGGGAGAGGGCGGACTTCAGAAACCATCTGAGCACCATCGAACTGGTTGGCCCACTATGAGAGGTGCCATTTATAAGACTTAATTTGTTGCAGCTGCTCAGACTGATGAAGTCTTTTGGATGAAAGATTAAACATTTCAATAAAAAGAAACCGTCCAGAGGACCTGACTTATCTTTGTTGTATACTGGTCCAGTATTCAACAACTTGAAGAAAAGCCACGATGCTACGCTTGAATTTGAGGTTAGACTTTAAGCCATGCTCTTTTCTCCAGCCTCCTGGTATAGACTTTCCCAGGAATGAAAGTCTGACTTCCTTTTTTAACAAGATGGGTCAGTCGTGGTCCTTAACTACAACACTTTCAGCCTAGAAGCCCAACAATATTCAGAACCTTCAAGAAGTCTGGGACAATCTCCACCCTGGGACTCTGCCCCTGTGCAGTTAAATTACATCTGTGAGCTCCGCTTTAGAGAAAGGCAGCTCACCAACTTCTTCCATTACAGAAGACCTCAATCGGCTTGAGGATAATCCATTACCACCATACTCCTCCCACCACTTGACTATATCCTTATTTGAGATCAGTTGCACTCCATCCCAATTGCTGACAGTATTGGCAATGTACACCTTAAACTTTGGACATCTTAACACTTTGCCAGACCTTTTTCAGGCCAACCAAAAGTCCCTGAAACACCCATTTCAAATTTTACATCTCTTGTTTTGCTCAGGATGCAGGGAACACTATGACTAAGGTTGGTGTTGAAGAGCTGTCACCTCGGACAGATGTTCCCAACACTATTGTCACTAGATGCTTGGGTGAACCACATCTATCTGGTTTCTTGCTCTACAACCTAGATCCACTTTACAACCAGGTGGTAATCCTCTAACAGCTGAGCTCTTCTCTTTAAGTGTTTGAGACATGTGGCCATAAATCTGATGTCAAAATTATAAAATGAATCATCAGCTTGCAACTTTCCAGGGTTTCCTTGTTCCACGTTTTGGACTCCCCTGTGCAGAACAATATATCCACCGTGGACAAACTGGGGGTAGGACAGAAGTCCAGCATCAAAACACTACTCTGGTTTAGACTGTCAGGCTGCTCCTCACAAGCATTCATATTCAGGTTGCACTGTCACTGCCTTCTTGAGATGACGTCCCCAAACAAGGCGCCTCACAGCACCCATGAACTCCAAAAAGGTTGAGTGTTCAAAAGTGCCATTAGGTACATACAGTATGTGTAAACCACCCTTTTTGTCTGCTGGATAAAATGCCAACAAAGACCAAGACAAGTGCCTATAAGCAAACTTACCCCTGATTGCTCCCTCTAATCCAGGGTTCAATAGTCTAGGAGTCTGGTTCCAGATCTCATGTATACAGTGAGCTTAGCTTTATTTAGTTGGCACCTTTTAACTGCTTATACAAGCTTGTGCTCCATACCCACCACTGGAGTGATTTTGTGTCCCAAAAGCCAGTTTCAGCGACAGGGATCTACTCACCAAGACTTCTGCCTCAGGCCACCACTAAATCAACAATAAATTGGTCCCTTATGGACGGTGCCTCCTTCAGGTGGTGGGTTCACAGCAGGGTGGTCTCCTGTGGCTTGTTCAGTATGTCTGATCATCCCCAGTGGACAAAGACCCAACCACCAAGTGCTTGCCAGCAAGTCTCTCCCCCAGGCCTGACTCCAGAGTGTAGCCATGTATTCCTGGTCTGGGAGAAGCAGAACGGTTTTTGGATCTTTTTCTCATTGAATTTTTTTTCTTTAGGTCAGGCCATGGGGGGAACATTGAGTGCAGTAGCATCAATAGTGAGCCTAGCTGTGGCTAAGGATGTGACGAACAACGCACTTTTCTACTTCGTCATCGCTGATGTCTTCATCCTGCTCTGCATCGTTTCATATTTGATTCTGCCCAAAATGGCATATTCAAGGTCAGTAACAGCGAAAACAGTTTCTCCTGTGCAAACTGATGGATTTCCTCTTTTTATTAACCTACATGTCAGTTATTTTGAATGTGGATTCAAACTATCATTTAAACTAGTTTCATGTCAGCATCTATAGAAATAGTAAAACAAATCTATTTGCGTATTAAGTACATTTGAGCCAATACAATTAAGCCAGTTTAGCTTCTCTGAAAGATAGCATTGTGAACATTAGTAAATTAAATACCGTTTAGGAAACAAATAAACTTTTCTTCGTTTTAGGCACTACATGCTGGCAGCAACGTGTGTCAGTCCAGGAACAATAAATGAGGACCATGGTACTGCAGTAGTCCCACCACTGCAGCCGATCATTAAGAAGGCATGGGTTCTTGGCCTGAGCGTCTTCTACGTCTTCTTCATCTCCATCTTGGTGTTCCCTGCTGTATCGTCAGGGATCCACTCTGTGAACGAGAACAGCGGCAGTCCCTGGACAACCAAGTACTTTGCACCCGTCACCAGTTTCCTCATGTACAACCTCGCAGACTTCTGTGGCAGACAAGCAACGGCCTGGGTGCAGTTCCCTGGTCCCACCAGTCGAGTTCTGCCTGTGCTAGTAGTGTGTCGCTCCTTCGTGGTACCACTCGTCATGTTTTGCAACTACCAGCCAAGGAACCACCTGCATACAGTGCTGTTCAATAACGATGCGTACCCCGTGGTTTTTAACTGCCTTCTGGGTCTCTCCAATGGCTATCTCGGAACACTACCAATGATATATGGACCGAAGATGGTACCACGGGAGCTGGCTGAGGCCACAGGAGTGGTCATGTCATTTTTTCTTGTGCTGGGATTGGCCGTCGGGTCTGCATTTTCTGTGCTTATTGTGCACAGTATATGATTGTACTTCAGACTAAAACCTGTCTTAGCTGTGTAGTGGAAGATAACACTACAATCAGTTCATTTAGATAACGCCAAGTCACAACAGAAATCATCTTGGTACTGTACAGTAGTGATGTGTCCTTCTCTGTCCAGGCTTCGAAGCGTGTGTCGAGTAATCCAGGAGGATTTATGTGAAGCGTGTATTGAGGCGTGTATTGATGGCGCGTGTAGTGACGTTCGAGGCCTCGCTAGTGGGCCGTACCACATGACCGATTCAGAAACTGGCTCGTTTGCATGCGCGGGATTCGAAATATAAGGGGCAGACAGAGAAATCCCATCATCACCCATCCATCCATCCATCCATCCATCCATGTTCTTCCGCTTATCCGGGGTCGGGTCGCGGGGGTAGCAGCCTAAGTAGGGAGGCCCAGACTTCCCTCTCCCCAGCCACTTGGGCCAGCTCTTCCGGGGGAATCCCGAGGCGTTCCCAGGCCAGCCGAGAAACATAGTCCCTCCAGCGTGTCCTGGGTCTTCCTCTGGGCCTCCTTCCGGTGGGACGTGTCCGGAACACCTCACCAGGGAGGCGTCCAGAAGGCATCCTAACCAGATGCCCAAGCCACCTCAACTGGCTCCTCTCGACATGGAGAAGCAGCGGCTCTACTCTGAGTCCCTCCCGGGTGATCGAGCTTCTCACCCTGCGGAGAAAACTCATTTTGGCCGCTTGTATCCGAGATCTCATTCTTTCGGTCACAACCCAAAGCTCGTGACCATAGATGAGGGTAGGAACGTAGATCGATCGGTAAATTGAGAGCTTCGCCTTTTGACTCAGCTCTCTCTTCACCTCGACAGACCTGTACAGCGCCCGCTTCACTGCAGACGCTGCACTTATCCGCCTATCGATCTCACGCTCCATCTTTCCCTCATTCGTGAACAAGACCCCAAGATACTTGAACTCCTCCACTTGGGGTAGGACCTCCTCCCTGACCCGGAGAGGGCACTCTACCTTTTTCCGGCTCAAGACCATGGCCTCGGATTTGGAGGAACTGATCTTCATCCCGGCTGCATCGCATTCGGCTGCGAACCGCTCCAGCGAAAGCTGTAGATCACGATCTGATGAAGCCAATAAGACCACGTCATCTGCAAAAAGCAGAGACGCAATCCTAAAGCCACCAAAACGGATCCCCTCAACACCTTGGCTGCGCCTAGAAATTCTGTCCATAAAAGTTATGAACAGAATCGGTGACAAAGGGCAACCTTGGCGGAGTCCAACTCTCACCGGGAACAAGTCCGGCTTACTGCCGGCGATGCGGACCAGGCTCTGACACCTGTCATACAGGGACCTAACAGCCCGTATCAAAGGGCCTGGTACCCCATACTCCCAGAGTACCCCCCACAGGGTCCCCCGAGGGGGGTACTCTGGGGGTCTGGATGATGGGGGTCCCATCATCACCATTAACATAAAGACAGATTAAGATTGTTTGCATATCAAATTTAGATTTTATTTGAGGTCCTCACAAACATTTTATTTTTTTGTTTATTCATCTTAAAGCTTCTCAAACCAGTTATTATAATCCATCTACCCGTTGTACATTTATAGTCCACTTGGTGGCACAGTAGAGCAAATGAAGCATCATGGTGCGTTGGATCATGAGTCGAGCTATTTGATGGAAAGCCTCAGTGCTTCACGAAGCTTCATCGCCATCACTACTGTACAGTTCACATGGTATTAGAATGGTTTTATAAAGTGCAAGTATACAATTATCTTTTGTAAGGGACAGTGCAATTGAATGTCTTTCTTCACTGGACCAACATGGTCCAACTCCTTTATGGATCGTTTCCAGTGATATGGAAAATCATGCAAATAGTTTAAAATGGACACTAAGGAAACCTCAAGACATGTTGCATGCAATTTTTTTTTTCTTTTAAACAGGTGCTCATGGGAAATATATTTAAATTGATTACAATTTGAAGTATATTGAGGTGTTTTGCAGACTAATTTGCTTTGGAGCTCAAATTAAAATCTAACCTTAATTCTACTAACAGAGTTTCAAGGAGATGAGTATTGTAAACTAATGTGTGCGTTTGAGCTTTGCCAACTATGAATGACACTTCATGTTAATCCCATCCATTGTTTTTTTACTTTTTCTTTTTCGGGTCACTGGTGCCCACATCTAGCCATTACTGTGCGAGAGGCGGGGGACGCTCTGGACAGGTCTCAAGCCCATCACAGGGTCATGAGACAACCATTTACCTCACACCTGGGAAATTTGAAATTGTCAGGGAATTTTTGGGCAAAGGTTTTTTTTTTTTTAATTTTTTTTCATTATGGCTGAGAACATTCCTCTCTTCCCTGAGAACAAGGAGCTCGGTTGTCACCAAGAACTCTTCTCTGCCCATGAACCATGTTTGTGCTGTAAGAAGGCTGCGGCTGGCTTCAAGGACACTCCCTGAACTATGCTGAAGTCGGCTGCTAATGTGTATATTTGATACATTTATATTTGTAACATTTCCTTAAATCTGACTTTGCAAGTAAAATGCCAGATATAAATGTTCAGCTGCCACAAGTTTTGGCTCTTTTGATTAATCAGAACGAGAGAATTTCTCCAAATACAGAAAAGTTTCTGCAATATATATAAAAACCCAAGTTCGTTTTCAATTTTCCACATTCCTTTTTTCTTTTCTTTCCTACTTTGTGCTCAGGAAGCAAAATTTTATATCCAATATTTCTTAAAAAAAGGGGGGAAAAAACATTTTGTTGGTATTAGCATAATAAACAATTTGGTACTTTAACAATTTTAAAACTATCAATCTGTAAAAAAATAAAAATCAGCTGGACAAGATTAACCTAAATGTAGATGACTGCAATGAGCAAGGGGAGGAAAGACATTTTTTTGAAAAATTTTATTTGTTAAATTCACAGACCAAATGAAAATTGGCAGAGCATTAAACAGACATTGATTTCAAGATTCTTTGTGCATTAAAAATATAGACAGGAAGAGGAGTACGAACAGTGGGATATTCTCTCCATATCCCCTCAATAAAACAAAAGCAATGTCTACAAAATGTGTTTGTTCAAGGGTCATATTATAAAAGAACGCTCGTCATCATACTGAAGGTCTTCTGTTTATGATCGGTTTCTAAAATGATTTATTAATGTCAGGTTTGGAGGGGGTCTTGTAACCCATTAGAACATCATCCAGGATGTTCTGTCAACTTCCTAAAAACATGAAGACAAGATTTGTTTAGATTGCCAAAAATTTCAAGCGACACAAAAGTACAAATCAACTGATGCAAATCAAAACAGTGGGACATATTGTAAGCACTCCCCCAACAGAGGAAACAAAATTAACAACAAAAAACAAAACCAAACGCTAGTCCCTTTCCACCGCATCATTCAAAATATCAAAGTTAATTTAATCAAACACTGCAGCTTTTTAGCCTATTAGACAGAAACAAAGTGGAAAGCAGCACTACAGTATTTTATTTATTTCCCAAGTAGTCAGAATGTTGTCCTCTAAAGCCACACATGACGTTTGCAGTGAGCCACAGCCTGAAAGACAAAAATAATATTTAAACTCGCCTCGGTCATCAAGCATCCGTCCCAAAAAGACTTTACGTTACTTTGTTTTAGGCTTTTATGACTGATCTACTCACGTTGCACCGAGTTGCTGTTTCCATGTTCTTGCACCAGAACGCAGGTCCCCAGGAGCACTGCTCTGTTCCCAGCAGCTTAGGCTTAGCTTCAGTGCATGCTCCCAGTTTCTGTAACACACAAACACTAATCAGGGCTGCAGGTCAGGAATGCAAGCTGAGGGCTGGAATGAGATAAATTAAACCAAACTATTTGCTTTATTATTCAGGAATACCTGGGTTAAGAGAAAATACTTACTAAGCACACAAAGTTTGGGTCAAGCATTTGAAGCAACAGCTGGACAAGCATTGGCTCATACTGTTCAATCAGCTGGTCACACTGTTGACAGACAAAATATTTCATTAGAGCTGATGCCAGAATACAGGTTTATAAATAACAGGATCCCACACGCACCTCCGTCCTGTAAGCGTCGGGGAGGAAGCTGCATACTTTCTTCACAGCTTCTTCGATCTCTGCCTCTGTGGCATTCTTCTCCAAAATGCCGTCGATGTAATTAACAGCCATTTTGCAAACTTCACAGTAGCCGCCGGCCTTAAACCGAGGCTGGTCCAGTGCAGCTGTAAAGAATTACTGTCATCAGCCACACAAGCTTTGCTTTAAAAGGTAAATGCAAATAAAACAACTATGTTGCCATTTTGATCTTGTAAACAAAAAAGATGCACCAAGTCTAACTTCTTCCACTGCAGTTGTGAAAGTCAACATTATGAATAAAATGAATCGGTAACCAGAAATTAATGAGTTTAAAAGTGACGACTTACGGACAAATGTACGGCTGGCACCGTTGCAGAGTGCGAGCATTGTGCACACAGTCTTGGGGTCGGCTTGCTGCACCAGCAGCTCAATAATGGCCTGTCCGTACGTTTCAACGAGGTCCTTACACTGGGCAGTCAGAGAGGAGGGCAGAACTGAGCACACGGACTCCACGGCGTGAATGATCTCCTCCTGATACAGGGGAAAAAAAAGTGGGTTAGTGCCAAGCACCTACTACATGTTGGCAGCAGTCAGGGTTCATTTTAAATACTGTGGCACATCCCACCTCCGTTGCTTGATCCTCCAGCATCGATTCCAGCTGTTTCATCACATACTCGCAGATTGCACATGTCGGGGACTCACGAACACGCACCATCGGCTGAAGCGAGAACAAGCAAAGTCTCGTGAGTTTGTATCCAATGTGGGGTTTTCTCTCCAAACCAACTCAAGTGTCAGCCTTCAAGTGTCTTTCATCACTGACCCTGGCAGCAGACTCCACCTTGGTGGCAGGGAAAAGCTTGGCAGCAGGCATCATTTTGGCAGCAGGGACCTTCTTGGCTTTCTCAAGCTTCAGCATGGGAACAGAACTCTCCACAGAGTTGCAGAAACCGGCACGTTCGCAGATGTCTTGTGGTCCCTGAGGACAGAAACAAGCAGATTACAATACAAAGTCCTTTTTCTTTAAGAGAATGGCCCCGTGAGTCATGCTGTGTGTGAAAATCTGCTTGAAATCTACAAGTCAATCGACACAGTCACTTTTGCAATATGTGGATGGTTTAATGCTTTAAATCAAACACCAACACACACCCATAGTGACACGGGCACACACCAGGCAGAGCTTTAAAGTGATCACTTCCGTCTTACTGGAGACTACAACGATGGTGGTCACCCTTTGGTGAAATAAATAAATACACATTCAAGTGTTAAGGTCGGCAGTCAAAGTAAAAGTAAAGTGTTTAAGATGCCATTCATTGTTAGTTTGCTCTTCACATAGATCAGCAGCAGGTGTTCGGTGTTAGGAATGTGCATCACAAGATACAAGAAGAACTAAAGAGAGGTTTAAAAAATTGCTAAGCAGTAACCTACCTGATCCTGAAGAGTAGTACATAAACACAGAGAAGGCGGGGAAAGAAAAGGCAGAATGATATGGGGGGGAAAAAAAGAGATGAAAAACAAGGAAATAACATAATAAAGAGACAACACAGACCAAGAAATAAAGCAAACTGTTGAAATCAACGAATAAACTTAAACTCAGCAGGTAGAGCTGCTGCAAGATCCAACATTACAAATGATCCCAGAGCCGTTAGTGCGGATGACCATAGAGTATATTAATCATACAAGTTAGATAGAACTATAGTATTTTTTTGAGTACTCACCATGGACATGAGCTGCTGAACCACCGCAGCCCCATACTGCCCAACATACTGCTTGCACTGCAAAGATACAAAATACGGTCAAAACTGCACATTTATTGTGAAGTTCCAGCACGACGGGACGCTCACCATATCAGATATGCCCGGTCCCAGCAAGTCGCACTGGTCTTCGATTTTCTGAATCATATCGTCGACAAAGGAGGAGTTGGACTTGGCCTCTGCTTGAGCATCGGTCAAGAGCTTGATGCAGTCCTGACACACGTCATTGTTCTGCAGGAGGGAAGATTCAAAAACAAATTAAACTCAACACGAAGAGAACATTATTTTCTTAATGTGGATGTTTGACATCACATTGCCTCATCTAGCTACCTAATGGTGTGCCACAAGGCTCAGATTTAGGTCACACTCCTTTTTAAAATTTATATTAATAATGTAGGTCAAAACATTCCTGACACATCCTTGCACCTCTATGCCAACGACACTTGTTTATTGCTGAACACATTTCCAAAGGTTTTCCTGCTTCTACAGTCTGTATTTGACATTATTCAATGCTGATAAAAACCAAGGGGATGTTGTTTTCCAACAAAGTGTCAGCAACTCTTCCTCCTATCTTTCTCATCCACACGTGGTGTCTCTATTGCGTTTACAGATTCTTACAAATACTTGCAAATTTTGGTGGATGCACATCTCTTTTAAACCACATATCAAAAACCTGATAAACAAATTAAAACTGAGTTTATTTTTCAGAAATAGATCTTGCTCAACTCTGAATGCCAGAAAGCATCTTTAAAATTTAAAACATCTTGCAGCTGCTACTTTCCTACCGGCCATTGACTATAGTGACATTATTTACATGAATACTCCTGCCAGCTGCTCGCAGATGTTGGATGCCGTCTATCATGGCGCTCTAAGATTCATAACTGGTTGTAACTACTGTATCATCACTGCACTCTGTACTCCTTGGTCAGTTGGTCATCATTATCTACACACAGGTTCTCACACCGGTTCATTTTCATCTATAAATCCCTCCTTGGTCTGCTGCCTTCATACATCTCTTCCCACATGTCACGCCGTCAATGCAGTTACAACATGCGCTCTCAGGACATCATTACCTGCAGTGTTCCCTCAGTGTGGACTGAACTTAGCAAAAAGGCCTTTTCCTACTCTGCACCTGTAACCTGCAACACCTTGCAAAAATAACTGAAGTTGTCCACCTCGATTTCTTTAGGGGATTTTAAACATTTGATAATGTCAATGGAAAAATCAAAGCGAATACGTATGTTCTTTTTTTTAGTGTTTTACCTTAATTCAACACACCCTGATTATTTTATAACGCTACTTTTATTTTAACTGCATTTTTACTAGTTTATTGGTATTGTTGTGTGTACTTTCAATGTTCTGTCTGGAACAGGTCTCTCTTGTAAGAGTCCTCGTGGCTCAATGAGACCAACCTGTTTAAATAAATGGTTGAATGAATGGACGAACCTGTTTAAATAAATGGTTGAATGAATGGACGAACCTGTATAACTAAAAGTTGAATGAATGGATGAACCTGTATAACTAAAAAAGGTTGAATGAATGGATGAACCTGTATAACTAAAAGGTTGAATGAATGGATGAACCTGTATAACTAAAAAAGGTTGAATGAATGGATGAACCTGTATAAATAAAAGGTTGAATGAATGGATGAACCTGTATAAATAAAAGGTTGAATGAGTGGATGAACCTGT